ATTATAAAAATATAAAAATAATTAGAATGTTGATACATTACTTTATGAATAAGAATTAAATTTCATTTATTAAATTAAATAAAAAAAAAAGTTCTATTTGAATCAAAATTTTTTTATTGGAAAATTTTACTTATTGAAACTGAAAGTAACTTACATGATTTTATTATTTATTTATTAAATTAAACAAAAAAAAGTTATTAAATAATAAAAAAAATAAAAACAATTTTTTACTGGAAAATTTTACTTATTGAAACTAAAAGTTACTTTCAATGTTTTGTAGAAAGAATTTACTTTAATGTAAAAAAATTTAGTTTAAAAAATTAAAGTGACTTTTTGCTAAGCTTTCTTTTTTACATCATAAATAAATTATTTATTCATTAAATTAAATAATATAGAATTTAATTAATAATTTTTCCAGTAAGAAGGTAAATTTGGAAATGATAATTTTAAAATTTATTAACCGTGTGTGATGTGCCAGATTATAGACATAATTTGCAAAATTTCGTTTTAAGTGCGAGTTCTTTGGCACTATTATACATATAAAAGCTTTCTCTTAAGGAAATAACATGTCGTGCAATGTCAATCGTTCACTGACCACGAAAATAATTATATTAAGGAATTGAGTGAAAGCGAATCGGAAGATCCTTTTTTATAATAAATATATCACATGGTATATACTTATTTATATTCAAATGAATGCACATTAATTTTAAATACTGTGTTTACAAAAAAAAATAAAATTGCGTAACTTTTTTTCTCACTTTTTCTCCCTTTGAAAAAAAAGAAAATTCATTTTATTTTCGTTAAAAATTATTTAATTCTTTTTACATAAAAAATTTTTTTTATTATAAAATAATCCCTTTTTTATAGAAAAGCATAAAATAAAATCACGAAAGTAAAGAAATAATTTGAAAATTAAAAAAATGAAATTTCTTGAGAATATTAAAAAAAAAATTTTTAACTTATTTTAAAAAGAATCGAAAAAGGGAAAAAATAATAATTCTTGATAAGAATTTAAAAATTTGATTCTAATTTTTTTGTAGAAAAAAGAAAATAAATTCTAAATTCTTGAGAATATTTTCTTTTGGTCGTCATAAAATTTGTGTTATAGTAAAATAAGTTGATTATCGCGTACCATCTTCATGTGCTCTTTATTCTGATCTACTTTCCAACTCTTTTCTAATCGTTCAAGAAAAAAGGAAGAAAAAAAAACTTGCCATACCATATTGATCTTGAATCAAGCATTTTAACTTCAAGTTTCTCCTCTATTTTTCTGTGTTATATCAAGCTAATGATGGCAAATATGTTTTTATTCAGTTTCTCTCATTTGTCGCAATTTCTTCCAATCCCAATCAAAAGTGTACATAGAGAAAGATAAATTTAAATAGCCTTTTCTGAAATTCTTCGTACTTTCCAGTTTCTTCTATTTTTAAGAAACTTTTTTCTTTGTCATTCAAAAAAAAAACTGGTAAAGAGAAATTAATAAAGAAAAATTGAAAACAAGCATTTTTGAAATAAATTGTTGTATTTATACTAAGTTTATTTTCTACCGAATACCCTTAAAGTGAAATTAAAAATTTGTTTGAGATTAAAATTCTTTTACCCACAAATTGTTTGCTTTTATTTAAACTTTCGGCTCCATAAATTTTTATTTTCACTTTCACTTTAATAGAAAGTGAAAATGAAAATAAAAGTAGAAATAAATGTAAAAAACTAAAATTTACAGTAAAATCGGACTTAATCAGGTGATAATATGTCAAATAAAATTTATCTCATGTGGCATTTTTTAAAGAATATTTATCCCCCCCCCCCTCAGGCCTCGGATATAATGACTTTTTCAACTTTTTTCGACTTATTTTGAAAAATTGAGACTCTTTCGACTTACCTTCCAAGTTTTGCTACAAAAACCACATTTTTGGTATAAAATACAATATATTTCGATTTTTATAGTGTAAAAAGTATAATTATAGATAAATCTTTAAAGAATTATGTTCGAATGATTTTTCTAATTAAATATTTGAAATATATAATTAAACAATTTTTTAATAATTGAAATTTTGTAAAATTTAACTGAAAATAATTGATTTTTTCAAGTGTATTTTATTACAATTTTTAAAAATCAACTTTTGAGAAGTTTTGATTGCAAATTTTGAAAATAATTGAATTCTTAAAAATTTTAATCAAAAATCTTCAAGTGTAAATTTATAAATATGAAAATTAATGAAAATTAGCTTCTAAAAATTATATTAAAATATTTTTGAAGAAAATAGGGTAAGTGCGGGTATAGTCGGACAGTACTAGTAGTCGGACACTTTCGTGTCTTTTGTCAAATAAATAATAATGCATTTTGTGATAATTACAAAGTTTTGTTGATAATTAAAAATAAATATTAAAACTTATAGGATTTAAGTATTATATTATTAACTTCTAATAAGCTTTAATTCAATTTTCCAGCAGGAAGCAATTAAAAAATTATCTTTTTTACTTTATAAATCCAAAATATCTGACAGATGTCCGACTATAGAAAAAAGGGAAAAAAGTGTCCGACTATTAAAGCTTTCGTTATTTTTCATTAAAATGCTTGTATTTTATTAAATACTTGAGTATTTTTAACAAATTTATATGGTTTTTAATCTTGAAAAACTCCTTTAATCGATAATGTGGTTAAAAACAAGTAGCTACTTGTTATTTCAAGAAAAAAGCATAATATAAGATCGTATCCTTAAGGGGAGGTTCTCATTGCGGAGGCCAAAATCAACACAAACTTTGACAATTTTTTGCGGGGAACGGTTATAACTTAGAGATGTAGTTTTTTTTCTAAATAAACCCAGTGGACACAAGAATCGCAGTTCGTTTTAAGAACGTTCCTAAAACGTTTTTCAAACGTTTCATGTCTGGTAAGGGACATGAAACGTTCGAAAAACGTTCTTAAATCGTACTGCGATTCTTGTGTCCACTGGGAAGATACATTCTTGAAATTTTAAAACATATATTTCATTTTCAAAAAAATGCAAAGTGGCGGCCAATATGAAGCTGGGTAGGTCCATGCCTAAAAAATCAAAGTTGTCCCCTAGTTCTTCGATTTTGTTGAAACTTCAAAATTTTAGAGTGAAATACATGACTTTTCGCTTCAAGATTCTAATGATTTTATAGAATTAAAAAATTTTTTCTTTTCATTATTTTTCCACTCAAAAGGTTTTCTCTTTCTTTTTCAAGACATTTTATGTAATTTCGCTAAATCGATTATTTATATTTTATAACCTATCTAAAAAAGTTAAAAGTCGAAAAGAGATATAGATTCTTCTTCCGCGATAGAAGAATTTAAATTATAATGTTGGGTATTATAATATTAAAAGTATACAATTTTTATTGCGAAATTTGAAAAAGGATACGTGTAATATAGTCTATTTTTCTATACAGTTAAATTTTGATAAAAAAATGAGTTAGATCTCTTTTCGACGTGCGGCTTCATATTCATTTTTAAAATTAAAATTCGTCATAAAAATTTGATTATTTCTTTTTATATTTTTCAAAACTTCAATAATTTTTAAAACATTTTACCAAATTTCAATTATTTGGAAATTTTTCAATTGTATAAATTAAAAACCTATTAACTTTCAAAAATTATATAAAAATATATTTTAAAAAATAATTTTAAGAATTCCTTTATTATAATTTTTTAAAAATCAGTTATTTTCAACATTTTTGGTTGAATATTTGCAGTAGGGTAGGGTGGGTCATTACTATTCTTGTTTGGATTTTTGAGTCTAAAAAATGTATTTAAAAAAAATAAAAAAATGAGTAGAACCGTTTGAAAACTTGACTTATTAGCTACAATTTTGCCATGTATTATTTTTCTGTAACTCGATTCTGTTCCGAACTACAGCGATTTTACGAAACCCTTTTTTTATGTTGAAAAAAACGAGGGGCGAAACTATTCTTGCAGCTATTAATGATATAATACTAAAAAAATATAAAAATTAATTTGTTAATTGGAGGAGTTTTTCTGGTTTTTCTCTTCCAATTTCTCACCATTCTAACCTAAAAACAAGCACACAAAAAAATACACTGTTTCGTAGTTTTCGCTGTTATCAGTTTGCGAATAGTTTCGCCCCATCCGCACATTTTTTGAAAAAACACAATTGTAAAATTTTTGAACAATAGAATATAAAAAATCCATTATGATATTCGTGTTCAGCACTAAATTTTACTTTAGAAATAATTTTTCCGACCGTTTATCACTATTTACAATGGCAGACTAAATGAGTGAAAACAAGTAAGCGAGTATATCAAAATCGCATTTGAGTACCTAACTCCTATGATAGATGGCGCCAAAAGCTTAAATGTGGCGTACAATGTTCATTTCACATGACAAGTATACAGTGTAAAAGGGACTTCAATCGGATGAATAGTTTTCTCTCCAGGACTAAAGAATAGTTTCGCCCCGCGAATAGTAATGTCCCACCCTACCCTAATTCATCTTAATAACTTTTATAAAAAAGAACCATAAATAGTTACAGTTACAATTATTATGAAAAATTGAATTTTTGTATTTAAATAATTGGAAGAAAAATTAAAAATAATTGATTTGGAAATGAAGTTTAGTTAAAAATTGTAGAAAATAATTTAATTTTGGAAGGATTATAATTGTAATTTTAATAAATTATTAAATTTCAGAATATTTTAATTTGAAATTTTTCTAATTTTATTTCCCATGGAAAAACAAATAATAATTATTTAAATATTTATTTAACAAAATTATTCAAGTTTTTAAAAATTGAATTTAGAAATCAGTGAAAGGGAAAATCAGTAGAATGCAAAATAAAATTCTTGTGACATTATTGCACATGAATTAAATAAACGATTTTTTCGACTTTTTGTTTCTTAAAGTCGATTTTGCCCCCTCTCCTAAAAAAAATCGCTAAATGTAGGAGAAAAATTAGAATCTCATCAACAGTGATATGTTTTCACCACGAGCTAATTTATCTCGTTTGTTACAGGAAATTTTAAACACTTATCACATCAAGTTGGAAATCCTGAGAAATCAAGATCTACTACCTTGTAATTAAGAGTTATTTCTAATTAAGGAATAAGAAAAGAAAAAAAATCCTCATTGATGTATAATGGAAGGGATTATTGATGACGAAAGTATAAAGGAAAGTTGTAATATATTAGAAATAAAAACGAATGAAGAAAAATAAAAATGATTGTTTTCATAAAGTGTGAAGAGAATTTTTTCATCACAAAAATGAAAATTGATAAATAATAAAATTTTTGACAATAAATTGAATCTACATGAGAGAGGAAAGGCAAGTACTGTCATCATTGGGTGGTGTAAATAAAGGAAATTATGTCAACGACTGAACGGGTGTTTCACCTAATATGACCCTGACAACAGTACTCAAAACAACAACTCCTTCGTTTTGTAGCTCTTTTCAAACAAGATGCTTTGTTCTTTTTCTGTTGGTGAGTTTTTTGCCGCCCTCAACTGCGAGAAACAATCCACCTCGGTTCCTCACCGATGGCCAAACGGAAATCATCCTCAGGCTCAAGGAAGGGCCAAAAACACCAGTTGGTGAGAAAATTACTGCTCTTATGCTTTTATATATATATTTTTCTTTCTTTCTTATTTTGTAATAATATTCCATTATTATTTTTATTTTTGTCACTAGCTAAAATAACACGCACGTCTTTACGCCCACGTCTTTACAATTTTTTTAACAATTTTTAGGTGTCGATTATTAAATTTAGTCTTTTTTTCATTAAATTGGAGCTTTTTTAATGAACGAAGAGCTTTTTCGAAACACAGATCTTTTTTAGGGTTCCGTACACCTACGGTGTATCGGCGGAACCCTATTGGTGAGACTCTGTTGTCCGTAGCGAATGTGATTGGACGTGACAAGATTTTTGGCCAAAATGCATAAAAAGTGACCATTCCCCCCCCCCCTTAACTTCCAAACTATTCGACATGGAGAGCTGAAATTTTGCATGCTGGTGTATTTTTACTCGAATATTACAGGAAAAATATAGAGAACTTGATATGTAGTGATGGCCATAGCGTTGTCAAGGAAAAACTAAAAAATTTAAAAAAAAAAATTTGTTTTCCCTAACTTTTACATTATTTGACCTAATGAGCTGGAAATTGGTATCCTGGTGTATTATTACAGTCTGACGACAAAAAATTTATTTAAGAAACTTTTTTAAAAAAAAAATTTTTTTAAATTTTTTTTTCAAAAAAAAAATTTTAAGAGAATAAATGAGAGATTGTTTTCTGACTTTAATTTCTTAACTAAAAATAAAAAAAATTGGACAAGTGCGAGTTGTACTCGCACTGCAATTAAAATAAACAATTAAAAAAATATATTAAAATCATTTGATAAGAAGAAATAACTAAAAAAATTAAAGTATTGTATATCTAATATTGTAAACAATAATAAGCAGAGGAACAAAATTTTCAAAATTATAGTTCCTCTGCTTATTATTATTTACAATATTAGATATATACAATACTTTAATTTTTTTAGTTATTCTTTTTTATCAAATAATTTTAATATATTTATTTAATTGTTTATTTTAATTCTACCAATTACCGATAAATGTTGCAAGTATTGTTTTAATATTTGTGTACGGAACCCGCCATTGCAGTGCGAGTACAACTCGCACTTGTCCAATTTTTTAGAATTTGTTTCCGATTCAGTAAAAATTTGTATCTTGAAAAATGACGCTGGTCTTGACAATTTTTTTAACAAGTTTTGTAGTCGATTATCAAATTTAGCCTTTTTTTCATCAAATTGGAGCTGTTTTATTAAAGAAGAGCTTTTTCCGAAACACGGAGGTAGATAATTTCAGAAGAATTCGAATTATTAAAATTTTTGAAATATTTATGTCCGATTCCTTGGGAGATTTTAGTTTTATTCAGTAATTTTTAAGATGTCAAAATTTTGAAAAAATTTTGAAATCGTTATATCTTGTTTCCATCTTAACCAAATCACTTAATTCTTTTTGGAAAAAATCCAGCATAAAAAAACAAAAAAATTTTTTTTATCCCACATGCACAAAAATGGCGCTTTTAGATAGCTGACGACAGGGAGTAAAGTCACTCATTTGTTCGACCATATGAAAATGGCGTCCATTTTCTCCCATGTGCAAACATAACCGCTGATCATATGCGTTATTTTTGCCCAAGGGAGAAAACGGCCGCCATTTTCATATAAGTCGAACAAATGACTGACTTTTATTCCCTGTCGTCTGCTATCTGAAATCGCCACTTTTGTGCATTAGGAATAAAAAATATCGTAAGTAACACGGGAATAAAGGCAGCCAATTTGTTTACGATGATGTTTGTGACACTCGTTCCGGTCTCGGGGCGCCCTCGACCTCCACTCGTGTCACAAAAATCACCGTAAACAAATGGCTGCCTTTATACCCTTGTTGCTTAAAATACTATTATATTATGCTTACACAAAAATTTTATAAACAAAAAAGTTATTAAATAATAATTAAATAACTTTTGAACATAAGGACAAAATTAAATGAGGCAAACACAAAAAAAAAATCTTCGCTGCGGAATTTCGTTTTCGTAATCAACGTTCTTGATTTGTTATTTATATTATATTTACTACTTATTATTATTATTATTTTTCTTTTGCTTAGGGACTTTTGGGAAATCTGCCTACAGATACCTTGGATTTCGCACTCCAAGGTTATGTGGGGTTGGTAAAATAAAACAAAAGGAAATATTAAAAAAAAGATAAATAAATAAATGTTATAATAAATTTAATAAAATGACGACCTACTACCAGCCCGATCCACTAAAACCCGTAACCCTTCTTCTGGAGCCCTTTACTTTCTCTCGGAAAAGTCGTAAGACTTTAGCCTTCGAGGGTGGCGCTCCAACTCTGTCGCTAATGTGACCTTCTTCTTCTCTCTGCGGTTTTCCTGCGTCCGTAGTTAAAAAAAGTGATTAAAACTATTTCATAGTCTAAGCGGAATTTACAACACAACAATAATAATAAAAAAAAAATTGTTTAAGAAGTGTTAAAAGTCAAAAGATAAAATTGTAAACGGATATAAAAAGAAAAGAAAAAAAAGTAAACACGTTTATAATGTTGAAAAGACAAAACTGTACAAAGACGAACAAAAAACACAAAACAAATTAAAAAATGTATAAGGACAAATAAATCACAAAATAAATTAATAAGAAACGAACAAACAAATTTGAAAGCTGTTTAAATTACGCTTTTTTGGCGGCCGTCGAGGTCCTTCCTCGACATAACCGAGATTATGAAGTTCTCGACTTGCCGCCAATTCTCTTCTGACTGGGTCATCAGCGATACCATGTTCTCCGGTGTAACTTGACTGTTTACACCTTCGAACATGGCCCGCCTCTCCAAGTCCCATTTTCTGCATGAGAAGAGGGTGTGCTCCGCGTTGTCCACAGGGAACTGGCAATATGCACACACCTCGTCCTCGCGTAATTTAAAGCGACACAGGTACGAGTTAAAACACCCGTGACCTGTGAGCGCCTGAGTCAAATAATAGGAAACCTGACCATGTTTCCTATTTATCCAGGTGGCGAGTGTCGGAATAAGGCGATAAGTCCATCGACCTTTTTCCTCACCATCCCATCTTTCTTGCCATCTTTCTATGAGCCTGTGCCTCGCTTCTTTGCGGATCAGGCCCTTGCTTGGTCTTATTTCCTCATCTAAGGAACTTCTTTCTTTAGAAAAGAGAAACATTTTTTCCCTTTCCCTCGCCAAAAGATCTGCTGTTGGGACACTTGCAAGGACCTGCACAGCACTCGTAGATACCGTCTTATATGCAGAGATGATACGCGTAGTTATCGATCTCTGCGCTGACAGTATTTTTTCGCAGATGGTAACACATTTTCTACTCCTCAGGGATGGGGCCCACGCTGGTGCTGCATAGAGCATTTTAGCATGGGCGACACTCGCTACCAGTCTTCTTTTTTGCTCACGGGGTCCGCCTACGTTTGGCATTAACCGTGAAAGATTAGCCGCACACTCGATCGCCTTATTTGACGCCGTAGCCATGCGGTGGTGGAAGTTTAACCTTCCATCCAACTCCACACCAAGATATTTAATTTTCTTACTCCACTTGACCTCGAATCCGTCTATCACGATTCGTGGGAGCTCATAACCACGTCTGTCTGTGACCAGCAGAGCCTCGGTCTTTTCCAGGGCCATTTTAAGACCTCTGGTATCCAGCCAGCTTTTTGCTAGTCGCAGACATTCGTTCACCAATGTCCCAAGAGCCTCCTCACTTTCGGCAGTGCACACGAACAACGCGTCGTCCGCAAAGCCGATGATCACCGCACCTTCGGGTAGATCCATTCGCAGAAAATCATCGTAAGATACATTCCATACAAATGGACCCACCCTCGAGCCTTGAGGAGCCCCACACTGCATCTCTTCCTTGAGAGTGCAGGTGTTTCCCTCATATATAACCTACCTGTCGCTAAGATAATTATCCATTATCCGCAACAAGTAGGGCGGCATGTTTTTCTTTTTCATCGACTCGATAAGATCTTTCCATCTTGCGGAATTAAACGCGTTGCGTATGTCAATTGCTACCAACGCGCAGAAGCTCTTCTTTTCTCCAGGTCCCAATTTGTTTTTTCCTGCTTTGGCTATGTCCACAACTGCCTGGATAGCATCAACTGTGGATTTGCCTTTACGGAAACCAAATTGGTGATCCGATAGACTATTCTCTCCGGTCAAGTGGCTTTGCATTCTCTGCAGAACCATATCCTCTAGAAGTTTACCCATCGTATCTAGCAGGCATATAGGCCTGTATGATGAGACTTTATCTAGAGGTTTTTCACCTTTCCTCAGGAGGACTAACCTCTGTCGCTTCCAGTCGCGGAAGAACTCTCCTCTCTCAAGGCAAAGATTGAATCATCGAAGCAGAATCTGGGGTGTAGTGTCGATAACCAACTTTAGGATCTCGTTACTAATCCCATCGATTCCAGGCGCCTTGCCTGTTTTCAATCTTTTGCCTGCTTTTTGTAGTTCACTAAGTGTGAAGAGTTCTTCCTCTTTGACTTTGCAAAAACTCCAGTCCCTTCTAAGGTATGGCTCTGCAGGAGGAAACAAAGAATTTATTATCATTCTGACCCAATCAGGATTGTCCAGGCCAGCGGTCTTTTGCCTCGTCGCTAATTTCTTAGTAACGATTTTAAAAGCCAGACCCCATGGGTCCTTATCGACTTCCTCGATTAGGTCCTTCCAACTACGGCGTTGCGACTTGCGGATATCTTTCTTGAGGTTCTTTTTCGCCTCCTTGAAAGCCTCTTTCAGCAAGGAATCTTCCTTAGATCGGGTATATGTCCTTCTTGCTTTGAGGCATTCCTTCCTCAAGGAGGCTAGCTCCTCTGACCACCAGTGCAAGGATTTTCTTACGGGAATGGCGCCTTTGCGTGGCATTGACCTAGCTACTTCAACATGCTCGCGAATTGGAGCATTTATCCAGCCGATTTTTATTTTACCAAACTTTAGCAGAGTGTTACTTTCTGCCTCTGTCAGACGTACCAGAGCAACCTTAGTTCCTTTGTAGCGCGGCAAAAGTCGGCACTTCATCTTCAGGTCGGGTTTACCCAGCTTTTCTCTCAGTGCTGAAGTCACCTCATCCTCTGTGGTGGTTTCATCCAAGTCCTTAATCTCTAGAGACCTTCTATTCACCAGAGGTGTGACCTCAGCTTTGCCATACAGGGCCGAAGACAGTGCCTCTGCAAATTTTAAGGTCTCTCCACCCTTTTTTACTATTAAAAGAACCTCCTGTTTAAAAGTTCTCCTGATTTTCCGGATCACGGTACCCGTATCTTCTGGGTTTACCTTTGCTTTTATCAGCGGCAAGATACCCTCATACAACTTTGGGTCTCTTGCCGTAATTTTAACAGCTTTCCTGCTCCTTAGCTTCAAAGGGGGCTTCGGAAACTCTTTTTTCTCACCTGAGGGCTTATTTTTTGGAGCCCGTTTCTTTTTGTTTTTAACAACTTTGAAGCCGTCCCCATTGTCCGCTCCGTCTTTCAAGACAGTCTCAGCATACGACTTGCTAGGACTATTTGAGGGCGTCTCTTTTGTTCCAACTAGCGACTCAGAACCAAGCTGTGGAACATCCTTTCGCTTAATTCTCTTCTCGCTTTGAGTCCCTTGTTGTGGACTCGCATCTGGGCTTGCACCTTCCCTTGGGCGTTTATTAACGTCTTTTGCCTTATTAGGGCGTGTTGTTACGTTGTCCAGAGCTGCAGTAGTCTCCGTCTGCTGTCGAGCTCCCACAGTTGGATGTTGTGGCTCCTGGTCTTTGAATGGCTCGTAAATTCTTACAAATCGTAAGAACGCACTCTCCAAAACCGCCACGCCATCCTGGATGTCACGACTGACTTTCTTTTGGCGCTTGAATGCCTAGTGCACACTCTTAAAAATTCCGGGAATAGCCAGGAACTGATTTGCGACATTTGATTCGTAGCATGTCAGCTGGCTATCTATTTGGCTCCCTCCAAAATCCTTGGAGCCATCTGCACCGACTATCGGGGCTTGCACCCGATTAGAATCGGTGGTGGGATTACCCTCTTTCGAGGTTCCCACTTGGAGTATTTCATTTAAAATTTTGTCCATTTCATTCATTTTTTTTTATTTCTTTGTCCCGTGTCGAGGAACAATCGGGCCTTAACAAGGTACTACCATCTGGCCAAGATGGGCCCTGAACCGCCTCCGTTAGTTACATAGACGTTATAGCATTGCCGGAGCATTGATGCGACGTCTATGATATCCAAGGGCACGTGAACATGTATGTTCGGACGTGGAGGTCGATGTGTCTCTCCAAGATAGCAGGAAGTTTCCGCAAAGGGAGTGCATCCTGGTATCTCTTCACAGAGTTTACCCTCATTATTATTATTATTATTATTATTATTATTATTATTATTATTATTATTATTATTATTATTATTATTATTATTATTATTATTTTCTTCTTTTTTCTACCACAAATAAAAATATCAAATTTATGTTTCTTTTGACTTTTCAGGAAGCATAATACATCGATTAAGAGGAATAGATCCAGATGGAGACGAATTATATTTCGGAATCAAAAATCAACCCGGCAGCGATATTATAAGAGTGGAAAATTTCAATCCAAATGAAGCAAATATTTATCTCAATAAACCATTGGATAGAGAGGTAAAATTGTTATTAATTAATTTCCTTTTCATAAATGTTGAAATAAATAAAATCTTTTAATGAATTATACTAAATAATTATTTATTTATTTATTCAGAATAAACGGGTCAAGTCCTTTCGTACCTTAAGTACTCTTACAATCTAAAAAAATATACAAACTCAATAATATTTACCAAACGCTAGGCAAGCTTATGTGTGACTAGTACCGAACACAATTCTACGCAGTGCTGTGTTAAATCTCAATGCGTTATTGTCAAAGAAGTTTAATTCATTTGATATTCAATTTGCTTCTCTAGTAATTCTATTAAACATAGTATTATTAATAGAGATGTGCAAAAAGCTCGAAAAGTCGAGCCGAGCCGAGCCGAAATTTTTTCGGGCCGAGCCGAGCCGAGCCCGAGCCGGCTCGATGTATCGAGTACTCGAAATTTTCGAGTACTCGAGTGACTTCGAGTACTCGAAAAATTTGAGTACTCGGGTAAATTCGAGTACTCGATTAAATTCGAGCACTCGAGTGAATTCGAGTACTCGAATTTTTCGAGTACTCGAATGGATTCGAGCTTTTGACTTACTAAAAAAACTATTAATAAGTAAAAAATTTCGAATTTTTTTGAATTACTGAATCAATATTTCTATTTGCTAAATATAATAAATGCGAAAATTCTATGAATTTTCTCTAGAACTCGAATTTACTCAGAGCTCGAAAAAATTCGAGTACTCGAATTCCCTCGAGTGCTCGAAAAATTCGAGTACTCGAATTAACTCGAGTACTCGAAACTATTCGAGCTTTTTACACAGCTCGGCTCGGCTCGAACTCGGCTCGAGCTCGAACTGATTAGGCTCGGCTCGGCTCGGCCCGAAAAATGAAAAGCTCGAAAAAGCTCGCTCGAGCCTCGAGCCTCGAGCTTTTTGCACAACTCTAATTATTAACATAATTTGCTTTGTGAAAAGAAACGAAGAATAATGTATAGTGCCTTTTGATTCGTCTAGTAACCGAAAGATTGATCATCGACAAAAGTGGCGGACAATAAATCGCTCCATTCATCAACTTATAAAGAAAAAATATGTCATTATAAAGATACCTAGAGGTAATCAACGGGACTCCCATAACACTACGCAGTTCATTGTAATCATGGGTATGCCTATCAAAAGAAATATTAAGAATTCTAGCCGCAAATCTCAAAAATCGATTTTGTACACGCTCAATTCTCAAAATATTAAAAACATAAAAAGGTGACCAAATAATGCAGGCATACTCAAGTATCGATCTAACAAGTGTGAAATATAATGTTCTAAGAGTTCCCAGGTTACGAAACACAGATGCACACCTCATCACAAACCCCAATGTTCTTAGTGATTTAGTAACAATCTCAGAGATGTGATCATTAAATGAGTAATTACTTGTGAATAAAACTCCTAAATCACGTACCCTTGTTACCCTTGTTAAGTCCTGGCCATCAATGATATAATTGAATAAATCAACACTACCTTTTGAGTATGAAACTACATAACTTTTATTAAAATTTACTGTTAAGTGATTTTTTTGACACCATGTAGCCAATCTTACCAAGTCTCTTTGTAAACGCCTGCAGTCCTTCTGAAAAGTAGATTTTTTAATAATTTTATAACATTTAAGGTCGTCTGCGTATAGCAAAAACAAAGAGTGCTTGAAAATAGGTTTTACATCATTCATATATAATACAAATATGAGTGGGCCAAGACTAGATCCCTGGGAAACTCCAGATGTAGCCAAAAATGGTTCACTGTACTCATTATTAACCTTAACAACTTGACACCTGTCAGAGATATAACTTTTAAAAAAAGCAATTAAGTTATCAGACACACCCAATAATTTCAACTTTCTGAGCAAAATGCCATGATCCACCCTGTCGAATGCCTTAGAGATATCTGCATCTACCATATCAACTTGAGAGCCGTATTTAATATTTTCTGCTATAAAATCAGTAAAAATTCCCAAATTAGTAATTGTAGAGCGACCCCTTACAAATTATAGTTTTTGTTTATAATTTTCCTAATTTATCTCACGAAACTGAACAAAAAAATCTGCCCGCCCTTCGGTCGGACACAGTCGTCCGCAAGAATTGTGCATTACTTGCGTTCTTGTTCTTTTTTCCTATTACATGTTTTATAAAACTTTTTTTCTTTAAGTTACTACGACTTTAAGGATAACATTCTCATCACCTTTTTTTGTTTGCTGATGATTCCGAAATTAAGTAGACTTATAAGAAAATTTTTAGTCCTGCTAATTAAAAGTGTGAAATTATTTTTAATTACTAACTTTCTTTGCAGAAACATGGTTTGCAGAATTTTCGTCTATAATAGATTTACATGAAAAAGTAACTTCAATTTTTAGAAAAGTTTCACGCTAAACATTTATTAAAGTGGGACATATAAACCTTTACACAATTTTCTTTAAAATTTGAAAATAAATAATACTACGAAGTTTGCATGTGAATCTTTAAATAATTTTTAGAAAAGATCCAGCAGTGTGTGAGACGAAGCTACAAACATTTAGCCCCAGCATGGGGCGAAATGTTAAAAAAACAAAATTTTCAAAAAAGGACAAAACATGTATTTTACGCGAAAATATCAGAAACTTTTTTATTGAAAGTTGTAAAGGACAAGCTGCCCTACAATATTGATATATAAATATTTGCATCTAAGCGTATTATATTATTTAAAAGAAATCATTTATGCAAAATTTAACTTTTCGCTCCAGTCTCCCCTAACATATTTCAAATACACATTTTGCATTTTTCATTTTAAATAAGAAACAGAAAATAATTTTCCATTTTAAATAGGTTTTATGAAACTATTTGGCATTTTGTATTTTAAATAGATATGACGACCGCTTAGTATGACGAAATTACTCTGCCCCTTCAATGTCATTATAAGCGAATTCTACTGTATATTATTTTTAGATACCGAAAGTGATATACTTGTTCAACATCAATTCAATCATATGACGTAAAAAATTAATTAAGCAAAAATGAGTTTTAAAAAATGTCATTTAAGACAAAACAATATTGTTCATTAAAAAAATTCTTTATATTATTTTAATTAAACAAAATGAGACTTAAATTTTCATTTTTAATTAAAGTAAAATAAAAATAAATTTTTATAAACAAATACAAAAACAGTTATTTCCAAAATACCTTTTCTTTATAAACTCTTAAAAAATCTAGAGAAAAAGAAGAAGAGAGAAAAATTCAACAAAATACTTGAAGACGATATTCTATTAAAGAAATAAGTGTGAATCCCTTTTGGTTGAAAGCAAAAAATAGTAAAAAAACATTTAACATCGAAACTTGTCAAATAATTACCATGACTGTAATATTGTGTATTTGTTGGTCGTTTATATATTTCCGAATTGCGCAAGCGTAATAAAAAAGAAACAAGAAGAGAAAAAGAAAATGTTTCATTTTTCTATGAAGTTCAAGTACCGATGAAATTTTTTTCTAAATAAAAAAGACACTACCATCAAGAAATTATTCTAGCGTAAAAGGCACCGCGTCCGATCGGCTTCGTTTACGCATCACAAACTTTACGCTCAAGTCAATCATTACACTCGCTGGCAATCAATACCGGACAATTGGTTTCATGCTAAGACACCTAATGATCTAAGAATATCAAATCCAGATAAGCAATCATCTGTCAAAAAAACTTTTTTCGATAGGTGAAAAAAGTTATATAGATCAGTAATTTATGGATCTATGACATAGAGATAAAATATTACATATATGAGTACGTAAATATATTCTATAAAACAATATTCTAAAAATCAATAATCTATAAATCAATAAAATCTATAAGATCAATAATTTATGAATCAATTATCTATAAGATCAATAATCTATGAATCAATGATCTATGGATCAATAATTTATACAAATCTGATCTTTAATTATAGTTATAATTAAACAGCTATAAGTAAAAAATAATTAGAATGATGATTTAATTCTCTATAAGTCAATAAAATGAAGATCTATGAATCAATTATCTATAAACCAATAATCTATAAAGTAATAATTTATAAATATATATATATATATATATATATATATATATATATGAGGCATTTTACGTGAAATGTCCTAAGTTGAAATTTCAACTTCTTGAAAAAAATTGAAACTCGAGGAATTTGTTGTTCTATCAAGTAGAAATGTGACCCAAAAAATATTTTTGATTTTTTCGAAAAATTGGAGGGGGTAGAGGGGGGTCAATTTGACCAATTTTGCCAACATCGGCTACTTTGTGAATTTTTTCTGAACATACTTGTAATGGGAAAAATTTTTTAGAATATGTTTCTGAAAGGTTTTTTCGTCCTCTTTCCAATGGTGTATTTTATTTTTTAATATTTTAAAAATTTACCCTAATTTTTGATAATTTATATTTAATTTTCAATTTCCCAAAAATCGGTCCGTTTTTTTTGAAAATAAATTATTGCAAACGAAAGCTGAGGTTTTTTCCTATCGGCATGTAAATTTTCAGAATGCCCTTTTTTTTTGTTTTTGAGTTATTGAATTTCAAAGAATAAATTGCGGCGCGCAGCGTCCCGGGCGCCTCGTCTCACGCCGGTTGCCATGGGTTGCCACGCGGCTCAGTGCAACCGCGACGCAGCGCGCCGCAATTTATTCTTTGAAATTCAATAACTCAAAAACAAAAAAAAAGGGCATTCTGAAAATTTACATGCCGATAGGAAAAAACCTCAGCTTTCGTTTGCAATAATTTATTTTCAAAAAAAACGGACCGATTTTTGGGAAATTGAAAATTAAATATAAATTATCAAAAATTAGGGTAAATTTTTAAAATATTAAAAAATAAAATACACCATTGGAAAGAGGACGAAAAAACCTTTCAGAAACATATTTTAAAAAATTTTTCCCATTACAAGTATGTTCAGAAAAAATTCACAAAGTAGCCGATGTTGGCAAAATTGGTCAAATTGACCCCCCTCTACCCCCTCCAATTTTTCGAAA